AGAGTTATGGTAATAATGATTATAAACCTATACTACAATTATTTTAGATTATTTTTCAACAAAATATTAAGAATGACAAAATAAGAAAGGAAAACAATATGAACGTTTTGAAATAGTTGAGAATTATCTTTAAATAGTTATTATTTTATATTTAATTCAGATTAATAAAAAATATTGTAATACAATATTTTTTCCTTTCATGTAATTTTAAAGTCTTAGCTTTTGTCTGTTTATATGGTATGTTTGTTCTTCTCCTTTTATGGTATGACTTTGTCATTAATTATAATAATTTGGTGTTTGTATTACATTTATCATAGTATTTTTTGATCTAGAAAGATCGATGATTATGATATTTTGTCGATACATTCAGAATCGTTCACAGAGTAATTTGTTACATTGGTTCTTTCAATATTCACACCTTTATTAGTATTGTGTCTAGGCTATAATAGAAACATGAAAATTATTGATAATTACTAGATACTTTGGAAAATAAAGCATGTAAAGGAAATATTTTTATTTTATTTTCATTTGTCTTTTGGATTTCATGTTGAGATTGTATTTCCTTTGTTGTAACTTATCATTTTATTTAATAAAAAATAATTTTATTTAGAAAAACATCGTAATCCAATAGAGATACAAAGTCTAATTAAATGATAATAATTACAATTCTAATAAAGACAAGGCTTGATATAAAAATATGTGTTCAAACTATATCTTTTTTTTATTTATGTGCATAAATTATTTTTTCGGTCAATCCACGTGCTTAATGTTACAAACGTTACCATTTCACATAAAAAATCATTAACACGTACTAACTTATTGCTAATAGTAGCAATTTTTTGTTAAAATGGTGTGAATGTCATTACCTCCAAATTCTTAGATATTACACAATTTGTCACTTTAGATAAAAATATCCCTAGAATAATAAATTATTTTCACATTAATAATTCTCAATTTTATTCTTCGTACTTTACTCAATGTTATAAAGATGATAATAATAATAATAATATAAAAAAGTTTGTTTTAATAAAATATTAATAAATTTGTGTAGTTAAAATTATTTATATTTTTAATATTTAATATATTAACAATTTATAATTATATATGGTGAAAATTGTATTATTGTAAAATATGTAATCATTTACTAATATTATATTTCATATTATATTATACTTTATATAAATAAATATGATACTTATGAAAATTATTTAAAAATATAAGTTGGATATACTAATTATATTAATTATATGCTAAATGTATTTTTCTCAAAATTTAAATAGTCTAACAATTAAAATATTTCTATGAATTTTCATTTAAATATTTATAAATTAATATTAAAATTTAACTTGTTGAAGAAAACATATACCACATGGATAATTTGATAAGATATGCATCTAAGTAATCTTATATTTCTCAAACCAAACATTGTAATCTTATATTTCTATTAAACAAATCAAACATGATAATACTATATTCTCAGAGTAATGTTACCTTCCTATAATCTTATCTCAAATTTGATCTGACATTCTGTGAACTAAATGGCAGGGCAATATAAACCAAGTAAGTCAAAATAAAGATACTACAAATACTTAAGTCTAGAAATAAATAAGGTATACTTTGATAATGTGGTATTGAACCCCCTTGCGAATGTTGTCACTCTAATTCGATCACAAAAATCTATAAATTTAAATATACATAAATAATTCTAAACGTTAAATTTACGAAGATCAGTGATACATAACTACTTTACTATATAACTTTAAATATATGAATTTGAACAGACAAGCATAAATAATAACTTTAATCATAAATCTATAAGTAATACTCTAGCATGGCATTATTGCAAGGTTTTTATTAATAATTAAGTCAAACAATATATGTCTTCTATAACTATAAGATCGTATAAAATAATACTACCGTTTAATCCAATCAACACATCTATTCCATACATTGGAAATAAAATATTTTTCAAATATTTATATTAATAATATAACAATACATAATAGAGGGCATTTCATAATATCAAGGTATAATATAAAAACAATATCTTCTATAAAATTAACAAAAGTATTTAAAATTTAATGTTAAATAACATTTAAACCCATTACTTCTTTTCTAAAATAGTAATCTTTTTATACATATACATATACATATACATATACATATACATGTACATGTACATACATTCATAGAAAAAAATCAACTCATTAAGTTACCTTAATTGTTAAAGAAAATATTATTTTTATTTTGAGATCTTAAATTCAAACAATTATATTTATAAGATATGTACATATTTAATAATTATGAAAAATATAAAAAAATTAATATTATAATCAATTTATACTATTAAAAAATTTATATTAATTTAAAGAAAAAGAAAAGATCATGAGATAAGAAAGGGAGGCTTTTCATTGAGATAGTGTATGAAAAGAGAGTGATGGGAGGATCTAATCAAAGGTAATGTCAAAAGATAGAGTCAATGAAGGTTGATTAGAGTTGAACTTAAACCCACAATATCAACTCAGTCTCTTCAGCTTGGGTGATTCTGGTTGACCGTCAGCCCTATAAAAACAAAGAGCACGTCTTATCAAACTCTAATGCCCCTACTGAGTCTATGGGCTTTGCCCACTGAGCCAACCAAACTCTGTCCAACAACTCAGCTTAGTCAATTTGGGAACTCAAGGGAGAATACTTGTGTATGATGACTCGAATCTCCTTATAAGACCCACTGGAGGATTGGCTGACGACACTCGGTGCCCCCCAATATCCACAATCAAAACATGTTTTGAATATAAGCCTGTCATTTTATATGTCTCCATGATTTTCATTTTTTTAAATGTCCAAATACTCTTACTTTTGGTTAAATTAAAATTAATTTATTTTTAAATTAAAAATTATTATTTAAGAATTAGAAAAACAATAAAAATATAAATTATATGATAATAAAATAGTTTTTTAAAATTTAATGACACCAACTAAATTTTTTAAAATGCTTTATGACTTGTGGATTTGTCTTACGATGATTTCATATTATGATGTTTTAAATAGAATTGTTTTTAGTAGCGAATGTTTCAGTGTTTAATATGATATACTAAATCTAATCGAGTTTACTGCGTTATATACACTTTTTATAAAAATAAATAAATAAATTAAATATAATGGTGAATTTTAATTTCTTTTATATAATTAATTAATGTAACTATTCATCCTCCATTGGAATTAATTAATAATTACACTATATACATTTTTCATAAAAAATAGAATGGATCATATATGGTGATTAATTTCTTGTCTTTAATGAGATTAATTAACAATTACAATATATACACTTTTTATGAAAAAATCGAATAGATTATATATGACGTTGAATTTTGATTTTTTATGTAATTAATTAATTAACACAGCTATTTAGTCTATGTTAAAAAGATTTTTTTTATTAATTTAAGGCGATTACAAGTAGTATATGTTCTAAATATTCTCAATCATTTGAAAATGAAAGTTCAAACACTTTTGTAATTTTTTGTGCTCAAACCTGATACCTCTAGGAATAACGACAATCCTTTTAATTAATGAGGTAGCTTAGTTCGTGCTATTAAAAAGATTAATTAATGTAACTAGAATATATATAATTTTAATAATAATATAAGTTAAATATTATTTTTCAGTAATATAATAACTTCCTATTCTGGCTTAGTAGTTAGGTATTGGGCCCTTTGTTCTAAAGTTTCCTTTGTTAAAACTATCTCACTTGTAATTTTATTTTCTTCATTTTCCCATCTATAAGATTATATTAATTTACAAAAAATAATAATAAAATATTATACATATTGATATTATATTAAATTATAAATTTAAAATAAATAAAGACGAATTCAATATTAAATAAAAAATATTTAGAGACTAAACAAAACAAAACAAAAACTCATTTATCATTTTCCTTAAACTCAGCCACATTTTTTTACCAAAAGTATTACATGAAGTCAATGGCGGATCCACAATATGCTTAGGTAGCCATATTCAAATCTGAATTTTCTTCGTATAGTTACCTATTTTACTGATGTTATCTTGTGCTCACCCTAAAATTTTTATTTATGTTCACCTGATACAAACAAATTTGTATTGTTAATATACGTGTATCTGTCCTAAAAAATGTTTTTAGATTCCTCATTGCATGAAGTGATTTTTGTTCATCGAATTTTTAACGATGCTAAAAATTTGGGATGAAATGCGTAATGGAACTAAATGTTAGGGGGGAAGGGAAAAACATTAGGGGACAAATCGATAAAACAAATATAATTTAGGGGAGAAATGATTCATTAAACCAAATTTAAAAAGTTAGTTGAATTTAATAACACTAGCAAACTGAAATGCACCACTAATATGATACACTGAATTTAATAACACTATTAACTATGAATTTCATTCTAAATTAATTCTTAAACTTTTGAACATTCTTTTTTCATCCTCAAACTATGATCATCATTCTAATTAATCCCCAAACTTCTAAATCTTTCAATTTATAACTTGACCTAACGATTTTATTAACAAAGAATGCGATTAGTATATTCATAAAGTTCATGATGAAATTGAAACATTAAAAAGTTTTGGTACCAATTTAGAATGATGGTCATAGTTTGAAGATAAAAATAAAATGTTCAAATGTTTGAGGATTAATTTAGAATGATAGTCATAATTTAGGGATGGAATTGAAATATTTAAAAGTTTAAGGAATAATTTAAAATAAAAGTCATGATTTGAGGATATGTGACGCAATTAACTCTTATAAAGTGTAAAATTTTAAAACTTAGGGATCTCAACTTCAATTTTCATGACGTATAAATTATGTGTTTTCTTTAAATTTATTTTTGAGTTTAAATTAGATATAAATATATTTCGAACATCAACTCAATTATATATTATAATGATTTATTCTAGTGATAATCGTTTCAGGGTGTACTGAACGTAATTTTAGTGGGTAACAATAGGAAAATTTGCTTTATTTTATTACATTTTCCCTATGGTTTATTGTTTCATACAAATAATAAAGCTGTAACGTAGGATTAAACATCAAAGTTTACAAACAGGAAGAGACGATAGGCTTGTGAACCAAACTGAATCTGAAGCAACTGTAGCACTATCGTCGTTCCTATGCCAATTCCACAGAGCATGTGTCGCGTTCACCATTTCAAGTTGGGCGTGCCCGAAGCTTGCTTCCCTGAACACTGATGTTTCAGGTTTCGGATCCATATACCTATACAAATCATAAAAAAATATATGTATCAATCTCAATCATGTCACTTCATTTTAGATTCAATAATCCGAAAACCCGACTCACTTGTTAGCTAGACCTTCGCGGTTTCCGCCGTCGCCGATCGTGATGTAGACCGGACCACAATCATCAGCTTTTCCGTTATAAACTCGAGTCTACACATAGACACAAAGACGCAATATAAGCAAACTTGAGTACATGGAAGAAGATGACGATGATGATGAAGAAGAAAATGGAAGCTTACGAAGCGTTCATAAGCATGAACATGGCCGGCCAGAACGATATCGACTTGAGCTTTATAAAGCAATGGTTCCATGTATGTCTTCATAAGATCTGCTGCAGACTCCCCTTGGTGAGCAGTATTGGTATTGTACCATGGTGCATGGACTATGACAATGATCCATGGAGTTTTCCCCCTGTCAATCTTCCCCAAGTCAGCTTGCAGCCATTTGAATTGATCGGAAGCGGGATCGAAATTGGTGTAAGAGCCGAGCATGATAACATGGACACCGGCCGCGTCGAAAGAGTAGTACAAGTTGGAAGTGGATCCGCTTTGCTCAAACGGCATATGCCATCGCGCGTTGTAGGCCGTGAAGGGGGTCTTATGGACGAGAGGCATCCTTTCGACTTCGTGGTTGCCTTGCGTAACCATCCAGGGCCGTTGACTAGCCAGAGGCTCGACCAGGCGGCCGAATGAATCCCATAGAGGTTGCATCAGATCAGCATATGCCAAGTCTCCTGGCAGTAACAACATGTCGTGATTCAATTGTCCTATGTGTTGGAGAGTTGAATTTGTCCAATCTGTCTGCCCAAGATCACCTTGTATACATACATACATACATACATACATACAGACACATTTACTAGTTACATTCAGGTTCTACTAAAAAGAACAGAACTAAGGAACTTAAAACTCTGACATACCAGCAACAGCGAATTTGATCGGGAGTTGAGCTGGTGGAGTTTTGAAACTAAATTCGCGGGATGAATCCGAGCTGCATCGGTAGTAATAGATGGTGTTCGGATTCAACGGACCAATGACGGCATCGTGAATCTCACCGGATTTGTAGAAAAGATAACGATAGGAAGATGAAGTGCCAGAAGCAGAGTTGGTGTAACTCTTTGGAGATGTACCGTAATCTACTACTGCTGGAGCCGAGCTTTGCGTAATCCAAGATATCCTCATTTGATCAGCACCAACTACGGATATATGCACCTACAACAGTCAAATATCAATTAAAAAAAGGGGTTAATCATAATCATTGAATTAAGGGTAAATTACACAAATGGTCCCTAAACTCTATGATATTGCTTTGTTCAGTCCCTTAACTATTAAAAGTTACAAAATGTTCCCTCAACTATTGGGAGTTACTTTGTTTAGTCCCCCGATTATTAAAAGTTACAAAATCATCACTCGACTATTTATTATGTTCCTAACTTATCATTTTTCGTTAAAAAAATTAACGATCATTTGAGCTGGACGGTAACATGCTGACTGAGATATGATAGTCGTTTGAGATTATGGGATTAGATTTTATCATATCTCGGTCGACAGGTTAACGTTCAACTCAGAATACCTTAAAATTTTTAACGGAAAAAAACGAGTTTATAACATGATGAATAGTTAAGGGATCATTTGTATACTTTACCCTTGAATTAATTACACTAGCACAGCTTAAACAAATTGTACATGTTATTTACTAATATTAGTCCAAATTATAAGTAATCCTCTAATAATTAGTACACAACAAGAAATTCCAACCCATGAAAATTTAAGGAATATTGCCTAACAATCCCAAGTCCTCACTCAAAAGCAACCTTGCACTATTCTCTTATTAACGTTTTATTTTTTTGGAGTTAAGCGCATCATGCATCCTCAAATTATATCTCAAATTTAAAATTAATCTCTAGATTTTGAAATATTTTAAATTAGTCTCTGAATTGTCAATATCATTTTAAAAAAGTCATTATGTTAGTTTAATAAATTATTTGAGCATTAAATATCAACTTAGATATGTTATAAAAATATATTCAAAACATGTATATCGAATTTAAACTTTGTTCATCATTGTATGAATAACTTGGATCTTATGCGTTACAAAATAATTTGTTAACTTTGTTTTTTATTATGTTTCTATGATTGGATGGAGGTATATTTGAGTTAAAAAAAGGTATATTTTACTATTGCTTAAGTAGGTCTCGAGTTCGAGTCATTGTGTATGCATAAAATCTTCGCTGGGAGACTACCCACCAAAGTCAGATGTACGATCCGGGTTAGTCCGGATTAATCAACGAAAACATATTTTAAGGCTAAAATATATACCGAAAGGATTCAATCAGGGGTTGGCAAGTCACGTTTTTAACGCAATTGCACCCCATAATTTTAGCTCATTTACTGAATTCAACGTATTAAACTAAAACAATAATAATGAACAAGAAACAAGGTAACTGAGATTAACAACAAAAACAATTTTATTTTCTTTTAAACATCCAATTTTCATCTTCTTTTTCAATGAAACAATGTAAAAAAAAATAATCACACACAAAATTAAAACGATTACCTGTTGAGGAGTAGATGAGGAAAATCCTTTGGTTGAAGAATGGAAATGTGCTTGCCAGCAGGAGGACGATCATAGGAAACAACAGAGCCAATGAATCCGGCAAAGGCCATAGCTAATACAAAAACCAGAACCTGCACTTTAATAACAGCCATGGCCAGCAGGACGATGTTGATGATGTAGAAGAAGATTGCAGGAAGCTAGCATAAATGGTTTTATTTTTTTGGTTTGGTTGTTTCCTCGTATCGAATAGATATTTTGGGTTCTGCAAATGTTTATATAACATCACAAGTTACTTACAAGACGACAATGGAGGTTTCAACTTAAAAGATGGAAACCAATCAGGATTTTGATATACACATGGGACAAGAAAGGTAAGACAAGTGTAAATATATATATATATATATATATATATATATATATATGCATTTATGTACAAATTATATCTTATGGAATATATCATCTATATTGGCATTATATAGAATTATATGTTACTCCTGATACATGATATATTTGGTAATTTATTTAGTGGAGCAGTATCATTTTTGTTATTTCCTTGATTTGCAAAGCTTCTGTTGATTGATAGCGGTAACTTCTTGAAAGATAACAGCTATCTCAATCAAAGCTTATAACTGCAGTCCTAAAATCAAATAACAATATAACTCAAAAATTGAATTCAAAGTCGCACAAATATAAGTCAAAGATAGTGATAAATTTAATTTGATTAGAAATAAAAAAAATATTTTCTTTTATCACAAAAATAGGTTTTAGCAGCGTTTTTTTAGTCTATAGCAGCGCTTTTAAATGCCGCTAAAAACTTTCTCGGCGTATGTATAAATGCCGCAAGAAGTTCCGTTAAAACTAACGCCACAATAGATAGAGGTGTTTGTGAACAAAAACGCAGCAAAAGGTCAAGCTCTATAGTGGCGTTTTTAAGAGAAACGCCACTAATTAGCTTGTCTTTAGTGGCGTTTGTTTTGTTAAACGCCGTTATATGTTATGATATTTAGCAGCGTTTATGGTAAAAAACTGCCGCTATTAACTATGTATATAGTGACGTTTTTCTTTACAAACACTGCAAATAGGTACGTCATTAGTGGCGTTTCCTTCACAAAACACCGCAAAAAACCTGACTTCTTGTGGCTTTTATTTACAAACGCCGCTATGGTTAACTGATTTCTCATATATCATTTTCTACTTTATATTACCCAAATTTAATATTCTATAGCATTACCTAATAACAATAAACTTAAAATTTAATTACGACACAAATTATGTAGAAAAATAAATCAAAATTTATAAACTTAAATTAAAATGTAACATAATTAAACATTGTTCACTGGAATTTAGTCTAGGTTCTTTCTCTTAATTAAAAAAATTTGTTCACTAGAATAAAAATAATCTTCTAGTGGCAATTTGTATTGATCTACAACTTCAATTGATTATTTTCATCATGAATGTACATTCAATTAAAATAACAAATAAAACAATGGATTAAGAGACAATATATTACAAGGAGATAAACTAGAAGAAAAAGCATGATAAGATATTTACTCGCATACACGGGTAAGACAACTCATAGTCTTTCCAATCAAAAGACGATTCAATCAATAAAAGGCATGGAAAAAAACAACTTTGGAAGATAACCATTTGCATTATATTATGCATAAAATATGAATTTTCACACATTGAAATATAGGTTTCACAAAGAATAACCACAATATCTAACTCAGACTAAAAAGAAAGATATTTTATTTATCTTCATAAAATGTAGTCTCTTCCACCCATTTTTATGACATAAAAGAAACATAAACATAAAATGTAGTCTCTTCCACCCATTTTTAGGACAGATAAGAAACATCAACTTTTAACAATTATTTAGTTGTAACTTGCAAATGATTAAAAGGCTACAATATTAATAAAACTACATATATTTAACAGGCTAATATTCTCATTATTATTTTTAAAGGTTACGTATTTGACCAAAGCTAAACGAAGTTGATAAATATATATACATATCATTGCCTTGAGAAATGGATGAAGATGGCTAGCTTCAACAGTTGATCATTCAGCATTGAAGTTATACTCTCTGAACTCTAAATCCTTCTAGTCAACCCTAAAATAAAGTAACCATGTATAAATATTAGTTCAATAACATCCCTATGGAACAAAGCACAATACCTAAATGACAAGACAAAAAGTAGGGGATTCCACTTCATCAACAAAATTCTAACTTTACATACATATTTATCACTTCTATGAGATACATCGGTAATAACTACTTCCTTTCTTTTGGGGGCATTGTTAGACCCTTTTCTCACTGAGTAATCTTTCCATATCCTAAAACATGTAATTGGGACACTATGGGTAATATGAACAAAATACACAAACACTGAATGAAAATTGAAAAAGAATGGGGAAATGGACTAGATAATCAATGTGCAACAATAAGCTTCCTTGCTTTAAGTGAATTAACATCATCTTTACCGATTTCCTAGAGCAAAAGAAATCAAATTTAATCATTGAATTGACAGAAATAAGAAATATTTCTTACAATAAGCTTAAAGCAAAATAGATAGAGACCGATAACTTATTAAAATAGTGACATACCTCTCCATTTTTTACTCTAATAAGCAAATCCTTGACTTTGTCTTCAACATGTTGAACCTAAAACAAATAAAAAATTGCATTGAGAAATAACATATTTACATAAAAACATGAACAAATTCATGAAAACATTAACCACAAAAACTATTAATTTTTGTATACTTATTTTCTCATATCGACCCATTTGTTTTTCCCAACTTGTGAGCACCCAATTTTGAAATTTGAAGGCTCGAGCTTTTTCTGTAACAAATGAAAGAGTTTGGAAACCTTGGATTCAAACAAAAAGTTTAAAATATATCAACACTGACCCGCAACTCATCTTTGGAAACTGAACCTTCTTGAGGGATGACTAAGAATAGTTGAACATAAGGGGAGCCTTCGACAGCGTATTTCTTGATTTCCTCGGTGAGAACCCAATTTTCTCTTTTGATGTCTTGAGCATGATGTAATAGAAACATGTGTAATACCAAATTGAAGCTAAAAACTAGATTGAAGCAAAAATAAATGAACGACCAAAACAAATTGAAGCAGAAACCAAAAAACAGAAATTACAAAGGTGAAATATCGGCAAGAGAGAAGAAATCAACGATGTTGAAGGTGAGGATGGCTGGGTTGACTTGGAACAGTGAGGAGATCTTGATGGACGTGACGGTGAAGGTCACAATGACGTCAAACGGTGACAACAACTTCGTGGGTTTGGGTAAACGGGGAAACCTTTGAGGAAGGTAAAGAGAAAAAAGAAAGATAAAATAGGGTTGAAGGGTTTGGTGCGATAAAATATCCAAAACTTGCGGCGTTTGTATTTAAAAACGTCACTAATTCACTGACCTATTGCGACGTTTGTTTAAAAACACCACAAAAGACAAGTCAATAACGACGTTTATATAAAAACACCGCTAATGTTACCATTTTGTGGCGTTTGAATCTAAAAACGCCACTAATGCACTGATTTATTGCGGTGCTTGTTTTAAAAAAGCCGCAAAAGATAATGCTATAGAAAATGCCACTAATGTTACCATTTTGTGACATTTGTATTTAAAAACGCCACTAATGCACTGATTTATTGAGGTATTTGTTTTAAAAATACCGCAAAAGACGAGTTTATAACGGCGTTTTTTGAAAAACTTCGCTAATATTACCATTTTGTGGCATTTGTATTAAAAATGCCACTAATGCACTAATTTATTGCGGCATTTATTTTAAAAATGCCGTAAAAGATGAGTCTATAGCGACATTTTTAGAAAAACCGTCGCTAATGTTACCATTTTGTGGTGTTTGACATTTAAACGCCATTATATGTATAAAATTAGCGACGTTTACTTTCCAAACGTCGATACAAACCTATTTTGTTGTAGTGTATGCAGAAAATTTACATTGAGTAGATTTATACTTTATAAATTTCCTTTGTAATCAAATATTTATCCCTGTAAATAGATATCGAGGGGATTAGATATCAAGTTTTCTTTCTCCAATATTATATTGTGTTTAATCATGTTCACCCTTACTATTCAATGGCTCTTTACAAGTATTAAAACATTCTCTTGATAGCTAGAAGATGTCTCTCTCTTGGGCATTTCATGTACCTAAATAATGAGACTTATAACATCATAATAACAAGTCTTATATATAGTTGTTAGATACATCAAACTTCCTTCAATTTGCTTGTAAAGTATGTTATCTCAAATATTATACTTTATAAATTTCCTTTGTAATCAAATATTTATCCCTATAAATAGATATCGAGGGGGTTAGATATCAAGTTTTCTTTCTCCAATATTATATTGTGTTTAATCATGTTCACCCTTACTATTCAATGGCTCTTTACAAGTATTAAAACATTCTCTTGATAGCTAGAAGATGTCTCTCTCTTGGGCATTTCATGTACCTAAATAATGAGACTTATAACATCATAATAACAAGTCTTATATATAGTTGTTAGATACATCAAACTTCCTTCAATTTGCTTGTAAAGTATGTTATCTCAAATAAGTTTTAGAATTAGAATCCTTTAAACTCTGACATTAATATTATGGCTAGATCTTGAAGTTCCAAGTTGTATGTTCTTTAACATTCAAATACATATCTTATTCTCATATTATTCGTAGAATATTATCAAAGATATTTGTTATTCATCAAAATTTAGACTTTTAAGATGTTTGAACACCGAAGAAATTATTTATAATATAAAGATAAAATCATTTATTTGAAAATAATAATACGTGATAAAAATGTCGCCCATATGTAAAAAAAAACAACAATGTTTAAAAGTCGCCAAATGAATATAAGTTCAAAATCCTCTAACTAAATAATAGTCTATCAGTGACATAATATCAAAATAATGTCATGTCACAAAATAGTAAAATAATGCTAGTCGATTTTACAAGTACCGAAATGGTCTACCAATCAAAAGTATTTTAAATGTAAAACTAAGAGTGGGTTATAGAGCACAATGTGTCCTCTAAAATGCATGCATAATATTATGATATCAATTATTACATAAAACTAGACATAACAAGTTTAAGTCAGGTAAATATGTTGAATTGTCGAGTTGCTAATGTGACAAATTAGAAAATAAGAACTAAAATAATTATCTAATCAAACGTTAAAGATTATTTTTGATATT